TCATGTACTGTTTAGGAAACTGTAGAAATTAAAATAGCAACCATATTCTGTCTTTTAGTTTTGAGTACAGTGGCTGGTAAGAATTATTTGGGAAAGTTACAAGAAATAATTGCTGTGCAACATAATAAAGTATGAAATTAAATTAAATTATAAAGGAAATAGATATTCAAAAGGGAAGAAACAGTTGTGTTGGTATCAAATAGCATATATCTAACTAAATCTTTTTTAAAATAATAGCTGCTAATACATTTTCAGTCTCATAATTTTTTTTCTATGATTCAGAATTTGATATTTTATTACATCTATTCTTGTAATTTGTCACTTAAGAGCAAATACTTTATATTCTATATTTTAATATAAATAAATATTGAAATCTTCTGTTTGCTATTTTACTTAATGTTAGAAGATATGAGAATAAGCAGTGTGTGTTTGGTCTGCTCATGTAAATTCACACTAGTCTGGCTTTTCCAGCCAATTTTTTCCTTTTGCCACAATTCTGTTGCCACCTTGGTACTTGCAGGCCTGCTTCACAGTTGTACAGCTGATGCCCTGTCGAGGCTTATATCCTTCTTAGTGACAATGAGTGTTCTTGCCAAATGCCAGGGACCATAGTCGCATCTGTTTGTCTTCTGAGCTTGTCTGAGGCTGTTCAGAACACTCTTTATCCAGAGGGCAGCTTTAACTAGGCTTAATGCTCTGGAAAGCTTTGTTTGTAAATGTGTACAAAGAGGCGACAAGTTTATGTTGTCTTTCCTTTAGAATTATTCCCTTTGACACAACTTGCTCGAGTCCCTGTCATCGGCATGTCAACAGCCAGGTTTTCAGGCAAGGTGGTCTTAACAAGTTCTCTAGCCCTGCCATCTAGTATCCCAAGCTCTCTGCCAGAATATTGTTTATAAATGATAGCTTGGAGCTATCTATGGATAAATAGAGAGGAATCAAGGGAATTAACTCTTTTTAATCTTCAAGGCTACAGTTTCATGCTAAGAAACATATAGGCAAGGCTGTTGAGTGACATTTTGTTTTCCCAGGTCCCATTGAAGCTATTTGAAATGTATAATTCAGCAAGACATTAGTATTTTTGGTAAATATTAATTTAGTTTTATCATAGCCTTTTTTATTTTTTTTTGCTTTTTTCAAAAAGTAAATATATGCCAAGACTTTGAGAGGAGCTTATATAAGATAACTAGAAAAAGTAACATCATTAAAAGAATATAAATCTATTATTTAAAGAAGTTGCTGTTATGATTACAGCTTCGTCCCCTACCTCATTTCCTGCTTACAGGCATTTGCTTCTCTCCAAGGGGAAGTGGGCTTTATTTTCAATGATGATTGTAGCATCTAACCTCTATTAAAAGTTTGATATTTTGGGTAGCACCCATAGTATTTTCTTTAAAAAAAATAATTTTTGATATAAAGCATCTTAAAGACAACTTCAGAAGCACTGTTTACAATGAAAAATAGATGGGTAAGTGGACTCACTCATTCTGCTTTTGGCTGTAGGATAAACTTCCCAGGTATTATTCACAGAGCTTTTCATAGAAATAGATTATTATTACTAGAATAGATTTGCAGTTTGAGGAAACCATTGTGTGTATATAATTGTCTCCTTCAAATTGCTTTTTAGTTTCACTTTTCACCATGTCATATCAACATGCAGAATAGCTGCTTAACTTTTGTGTTTTATTGGAGAGGGCAGGGGATATTTTTAGTAATAATTATTATTCATTTTCCACTTCTTATCATAGTGTTTAATTGTTTTCAGCCTGCTGAAAATGCCTTTTCCTCAAAACAGTAGCAAATTTAGAAAAAAGAAAGAAACTCACTATCAATATTCGTACCTTGGTTAGTGATCAAATTGCTATGCTTTGCAGAGACGAATGATTCATTTATGCTGAAGAAACAGAACTGCCTTTCACACATACATTGATTTTAAATTAAAAAGCAACTGCGATGTTTTGCACAAAGGGTGACAACTATAACAAAGTAGTCCTTACTTAGTATTGTTTGGTACAACTTCATTGTATGTGCCAAGTGAGAAACAGAGAGGGGGATCTAAATTCCATAATCTAACTAATCAATAATCCAGATATCTCAATGCAGTGTAACAGATAATCAATTTGAAAAGAATTACTTAAGCAGAGCTAGCTATTATTCTTGCTACTAAGGTCTTCAGGTTCAATTGGCTGACTTTATTAATTTTTATCTTTCATCCTATTTGAATTCTGGTTTCCCTCTTTCTCATGCCTTTTCATACTCTTTTCATTATATCAGTCCTATATTTAGAAGTCCACTGCTTTTGATGCTAAATAATTTTAGGAGCTGGTTTCAGCAAAGAAGGAAAGCTTAAGTTATATTAAATTATCTGCTTGTAATCTTTCCATTCTTTTAAGAGATAAATTTAACATTATATGAAATCTAACTGGTTAGAACATTGACATCAGATATTTCTGACTCTTGGTGATTTTATAGGCAAGTGCTCTCTCCATGCTACACTTCAAGCACAGCTTCTTTGTATCAGCTTTGATGGTATCAAGCCAATAAGTTCTTTGTTTGCCCCTTCTTCTTCATCCACTAATCATTCCTAGCATTATTGACTTCTCCAATGAATTTGCATGCAAGACATGGCCAAAGTAAATCAGATTTAGTCTTGTCATTTTGGCTTCAAGTGAAGTTTCTGGTTTTATACAATTCAACACCTCCCAGTTGGTTATTTTGGATGTCCATGGTATATGCAATAATTTACATTAGCACCACAGTTCAAAGGCATTGATTCTTTTTCGATCAGCCATTATTAGTGTTCAACTTTCACACCCATACATCATTACCTGAAGGTAGGACAAGAAGCAATGGATGGAAACTAATCAAGGAGAGAAACATCCTAGAACTAAGGTGAAATTTCCTGAAAGTTGGAACAATTAATCAGTGGAATAATTTGCCTCCAGAAGTTGTGAATGATCCAACACAGGGAGTTTTTAAGAAGAGACTGGTTTCCTGTCCTTTGCAACTCTGTTATTCTGTTAATAATAACCTGCTTTTTTATTTATATTATTAATAACCTGCTTTTTTATTTATATCAATATCTCTGCTTTTCTAAATATTATTCATATTAATCATTGAGTGTGGCCTAACATTATCCTGTGTTTGATTTGAGGTGTAAAACTGCCATCTTGAACAAATGTTGATCCAAGGAAGATAAATTCTCAAACTACTTCAATTTCCTTCTTGTTTATTTTAAACATTTTATGTCCATCTACAGCTGTTGACATTATCTTTGTTTTCCTGAATTTAAGACTCAATCCTACTTTTTCACTTTCATCCTTGGTTTTCCAGTTCATTCCAGGTCATCCTTATTTTTAGCAAACCATGTTGTATCACCTGCATATCTAAAATTATTTATGGTTCTGCCTTCAATCTTCACTTCCAAATCAGGCAGTTCTAGGTCTAATTTCTGCATGATCACTTCAACATACAGATGGAACAAAAATGGTAATAAAATACATTCCTGTCTAATTCCCTTACTAATCCTGAACCTATTTGTATCACCATAGAGTGTTCTTACTGTTGTCTCCTGATTGATGTACTGTTGTCTCCTGATCAGATCACTATCTGATAAGTCTGATTAGGTGGGTTTGGACATCAAAATCACACAAAGTTTATTGTGGTCTACATAATCAAAAGCTTTTCTGTAATCGATAAAACACATATAGATACCCTTTTGATATTCACGTGCTTTTTCCATAATTCATTTAATATTGGCAATGTGATCTCAGGTGTCGCACCCTTTTGTAAAGCCAGCTCGTACATCAGGTAATTCTTGATCAATAATGTTCTGCAGCCTCTTTAACATAATCTTGCTTGCATGAGAAATTAATGCAATCATGCAATAGTTGGAGCAGTCTCTAGCATTGCCTTTCTTTACTAATGGGATAAAAATGGATCTTTTCTATTCGTGAGGCCATTGACATATAGACCATATCTCTTGACACAGGGCAGTGATGATGTTAACTGGCACTGGTCCTAGTAATTCTGCAGATATTCCGTCAATACCTTGGGCTTTCCAGTTCTACAATTTTGCCATGGCCCATTATACTTCTTCTTTCAAGATGTTTGGTTCTTTAATAATTAGGCTGTTATCATTGTCATCTTGATGGTATGTCAAACTGCTATAGAGTCTGTCCATATACTCTTTCCACCTGTTCTTGAACTTCTGCCAGTCACTTACCAGTAGTACATTCCTGTTGCATTCCTGTCTTTAATGTTTCCTTGCCAGACTGAAAAGCTGGATCGCATCATTTTAACTACAGCAAACATGACCATAGTATGTCCCTTCTTGTTAACTTCTTCCAGATGTTGGCACTGTTTCTCCCACTGCCTATTTTGTCTTTCCTGACTTCACACTGGAAAATTGCATTCAGATTTTTGACTTACCTTTGGCTTTGGCTGCCTGAACAATGATCAGCTATTTTGATGGTGTCATCAGATAGCCACTTATTTCTTCTCTTTGGTTTTTGGTCGTGACATATACTTTCCCGCAATTTCCATGATGTTACCTTGAATCTCCCACCACTGTTCTTTTGAATGGTTCCCTTGTAGATTCAATAAATTTATCTAAGTTATGATAAACAACTTGAAAATGAAGTAAAATACATTTCTTTTCCATTTTGTTTTAAAACTCAAGTCAATTTTTTAAAAGATGCCACAAGTTTACAACTTATGAAAGACTATTGTTTACTTTTTTCCTCTGTTTAGTCAGAAAGGCTGCCAAATTGAGCAGTTTAAAGTATTAATATACATTATTTCTACAGTTACTGTATTTATAGTATATCATTCCTGCTTCCTGTTTATCAAAAAACTTGATTAGATTTCAGTTTTAGAGGAACTGTAGATTTCCATTCTTAGTGAGATTGTTTTAACTCTATCATGAATTTTATTACATCAACTTCCCAATGTAACTGCTTGCTTACCATTTTGCGTACATATCTCTGATTTCATTGCAGACAGACAAGCGTCCATTTAGGATCCTTATGTATGGGTGATATCAAACGAAGAAGAAAAGCAGCACCATTGCCAGGACCTGCTGGTAAGCAGATTCAGCATAATTAAATATGTTATTCATACATACATACAATATACACACATATACACATATAGCATATATATATATATATACACGCACGCGAGCACACATACACACACACACTTGAACATTTTAAAGCATTTTTAAGAGCTGGCCAAAGGGTTTTGAGGCTGCAGATCCTTTAAACCCTAGAGGGAATTAGTAATTACTAGGAAATTAATTCCATTGACCTTAGTGGGGTTCAGTTCTGAGTAATGTGCATGTGATTGCAGATTAAGTGTAAAAAAAGATCTAAAGCTGGGGAAAACAATATAAGTAGCTCAGTTATTGATCCTGATCTATTCTTTTCAATGATTTCTTCATGTAGAAAATGTGTTCTTCATTGGACGTGTTAATTCTGATTAGGACCATAGAAATAAGGGGAGATTAAACTTTTTCCTCTTTCCATCACAATTCTGTGCTAGCTATTCTCCTTATAACTAATGTTAACTAAATACATAGTAGCAAATAAAATTAAGAACAGCCTATTTTCTCTTGCCTGTATTTAGAAGTAGAGATCTTAGAGTTCCGATTTTGCGTTGCGGTGAGACAGGATGTAGGACGGCAGAGCTCTGCCTTCCACACCTGATTTTGTCATGTTGGGGGCCCTGAAAAAGGCCTAAAGTCACCCCGAAGAGGTGATGAAGAAGGAGGGGTGCCTTGTTGATCACAGAGACGGCGGTTTCTCTGTTCGATCTAAGGAAAGCCCTCTAAACTGGCAGGAGAAAGACCGGCCACACCTCTGCGGCTGGCCATTAGCTGCTGACAAGCAAAGAACAAAAGCTTTAATTAGCACACTGTAAACAACATGTTTGGACTGGGTGAGAATATTGACCCTTTCTTTAGTATTTTACAACTGAATTTCCTGGGAAAGGCTCCCAAGAAGCTTAAAACCTCTGGATGTGAACAGAAGTGGCGTTTTAAATTTTTTATGGGGAACAGAAATACACAATACTGAAGTGAAAGTAATACAAAGCTACAGTTTTGATAAATCTGAGAACTGAGATAAATTGTTAAGATTTTCTCTTTGGGAAAAAAATTATTGAGGTGAAATATAAGAAATCAACCTTTTGTTTTAAGAGTGGAAAATGGACTTTGAGTGACATCTAGTGGTGGATTTGAGTACAGCACTATAGCTTCTTGGCTGCTTGGGAAATTTCAGCTTAAGGGAGAACAACTGGCAATAAAGGAAAATATTTTAGCATATTTATCATCCTGATCTTCTTGGACTATAGATACCTACTGATCTTGGTCTTTTAATCTCAAGAGCTAGTGGGAGAGAAAGAAAAATTTGACTTTTGAATACATCTGGCTGCAGGGAGGTTGAATATTTTGAACACTTGGAACATTGTGGATTACAACCTTGCCTGATTGATAATTTTCAGGATACTTGAGACAAAGGATTACTATAAAATATTGCTATTAGGGCTGGATTATAAAGGCTATATATAAAGACCAGAAAACTAGAGGAAATTTTGTTCCACTCTTACTGAGACTGGTAATACTAAAGGATTTCTAGGAATGATGCCTCAAGAAAAAACAAATATCTTTCAGAAGGAAATAGTTTCTATGCTACAGCAAATTCATCAAACAAGTGTTGCACACAAAGAGGAAATAAAAATAAACCATAATGAGACTAAAAATAACCTAGATGATATAAAGGACCAAATCTCCAAATTTAAGCTACAACTGGAAAGCTCCCAGACAACAACTACAAAGTATAAACAAATAAACCAGAAATCAGAGGGTGAAGCAAAAGAAATGGACTTAGAGATGGAGGAGATAGGAGAAGGGAAATATGGACTGCCATACACAAATAAAATACTGCAAGACCTACCTATAACAATGAAAATACAAAATACCCTTTACTCCTTTCTCCAAAATACACCTGATGACAAGGAAGAAGATTCTAGAAAATGGAACAGAGTGGGCAGGGGAAATGTCTAAGGAATGTGGATGGGTGGACTTCCCTTCAAAAAATACTCTACATAAATTGTCTTTCTCATGCCAACCAGCTTTCACAAAAATAGAAAGAAAATTCTTGGGCGATTTAATTGCCCTGGCTTGCAGAGCTGCTTGGCAAAGAAAAAGCAAGAGTTAGACTTAAAAAACAGAGTTTTTGATCTATCAGAGGGGGCACTATCTCTTTAATATACTTGTTTGAATATGATTAAAAGAATGGATGACCCTTAGATATATCTAGATTTTTATAATCGAAGATATGATTTAGAATTAAAATAGAATTTTTTTCTTCTTTTCGTATGGGAAATTTGAAAATAAGAGATAAACCTTTTTAGCTATATAAATATAATTAATATTGAGAAAATCATAACTGACAAAGATACTTTAAATACTGATGGAAAATCAAACTAATAAGCACGAAAAACAGGATATTGACTTATGAATTGATATTATTGTTACTTCTATAATATTAGTAAAATATGATGAAGATGTCTATATCTAATTTTGTATACATCAGTAGTACTAAGAATTGTAATTGTTTAATGAGGGGAAAAGGGAAAAAATATGGGGAAGAAAGGAAGATCAAGGAAAAAATACTGGATTGTGCAGTACTGAATAGATTTATATTGAAGAAGTTAATGTTAAATATGTGAACCCAGGCAACATGTTGTTTACTAAGCTCTAAAGATTGTAATTTTAAAAAAATAATAAAACCTATATAAAAAACCAAATAGAAGTAGAGATCTTAGATGGACAAAACTAAGAGGACAAAACTCAACGGCTCCATTGCCTTTGCTAGTCCAGGGAATTTTTTTTTAAAGTATGCTTTATTCTGGGTTCATCTATCCAGAATGCAATACTGTAAAAAGATTGCCAAGGTTTACCAAACTGACTGAACACTACCCTTTCTTGCTTATCTGCTAGAAGAGGACAAACAATTCAGAATATTACAGGGAGAAACAAAGCTTTAAGAGGGTGCTGGCCAACAAAATTTATTTATTTGTTTACTGTCTATTTATTGAATTATTTATTGAATTAATAATGTCACCGACCTCACTTCCATGTTACTCTAGTGACGTATAGAATTAAAACAAAAGTAAACAATCTAAGCAGGGATTTCCTCATGGTCGGTGGCTCCAATTGCTGCTTCTCCCCCTGGCAAAGTGGCAAGCAGTTCTGTGGGTCAGGTGAGGAGGAGTCTTCACAGCATCTCTCTTGAGAGTTAAGAGGGGAGGGGAAATGTTGTAAGCCTATATTATATGTGGAAAGAGAAAAGTCAAAAGATCCCTGTTGGTCGCGATATTGATAGTTGATGAATGGGCCCTTTTCCTCCCATGTCCCTTGGCGACATGTCAGAATGGAGAGCGGGGTGCAGTTTTTCTCATGGTTCACAGCTCCCTTGCTTTCCCCTCTTCCCAGCAAAGTGGCAGGCAGTTCTGTGGCAACAGAGGAGGAGGAAGAAGCAGTGACTTCACCTGGGCTCCCCTGAGGGTTGTGAGGATAGAGGAAATGATACACATCTATATTATATGAGGAAAGAAGAAAGATCCAATGAGGTTGTCTGACGACTACTCATTTGTTCTTTGTAGAACTGTGTAAAAACTGGTAGTAGGGAAAGAATTTCAAGAATGTAGATATTATCTTGAAAGAGTAACCATTCCTGTTGCCCCTAACATAGTATGTATGCTAATAGGTAGAAGTAAAATTTGTATGTTCCACATTTGTAATTTGGAACGTTAGAGGTTCTTTAACAGATTTGAGCTTCTTGTAGAGGGCAGAGAGGAAAGAAATAAAGGCAAAACATTTGTCCATGTCATGTTTGAAACATACCAAGCAAGAATAAAAGCAAACTTTATGCAAGTGCACAGTCCACTTTTCAATAAACTCACTATCTACAAAAAGTCCTCAATTATTAGGGAAAATGCCTACAGATGAGAGTATATATTTTTAATTAGCATTAAGTCATGTTGTCACATTTTCTAGAAATATGATCAGCCACTGACTATGAGGTAATCCCTGCTTCTCTTTCTGCTATATCCCCAAGGGCCCCCTCCATTATTGGTGCCAGCCAATCCTACCTTGCCCACAGGCCTTCAAATGACTCCCTTGTCCTTCTCTCACTGGCCAACACCATTAAGGGAACTCAGATTTCAGGCTTGGTTCTAAAATAGCCAATGGTTGCTTGCCCATTGAGTCTTGCACATTGAACTTACCCTTGAGCCAGCTCATTGGGTGCAGGGTCAGAGGGAAACTAGAAAAAGATTTTCAGTAAAGTTATACTCTTGGGAAAAAATGTCCCAGGAGTTTCTTTTGCTGTTTAATGCAATGGGATGGTTGACAGAGTGCAGGGATACACCTCTCCTATTTTCCCTTTTGCCATGCAACCTACGGGTTTCTACTAAATGTAGTTGAAAGGCATGGTGGCACTGAAGCAGCCACTACTTTCCCAAATTTCATTCCCGTGGGAGTCATGGATTCTGGCATTCTGTAAATTAGCCTATTTGAGTTACTTTGATTCAGTAATTATTGCCCTATACTTTCCAGTTTTGCCTAATGGAAGGTTACAAATAAACAGCCAGACGGAAGTGTTTTAGTGGTATATAGGTTATTTTATCAAATTTATTTGCTGCCCATCTCGTGCTGGCCAAGGCAACTCTAAGCAGTTTAAGATTATAAATTAGATATGTTGAAATGTTATTATGGGGATATTATATGGTAACCCTAATCCCAATCAATTGTGCCTCCTTCAACAAAAAAAAATTAGATATGTATAACTCGAAGAAGACATACTTCATATTGGTGGATAAATTTGATTTAATTCTATCTCATTTATTTGTTTGTCAAATTAATTACATAAATATGTGAAATTGTAAGATCCATCTCTTACTATTGGACTTATGAACCTAGCAAGCCTATGAATACAAGGTTTCAGTTGGTACTTTCTTAAATGTCAATTGATGACAAATGGTTTTCCCTGTCTTTGTATGCAGTATGTTGAATGG